TATTGTGACGTTATGTTTATTTTATTTCTAAACTGCAGATTGAAAATAAAAATAAAAATAATAATAATCTGAAGTATTAAAAGTATCAATGAATAAATAATGATAATTTTTTTTTTTGTTAAAGAAGAAAGTTTCGGATACGTGTTCATAATTAGGTAAGTCTTACATAATATGGTACTCAAATAATTTAAATTAAATTGTACATTCAATATCTTTCATGAATAGAAATATATTTTTGATGGATTCTTCTTCTGGGCGCAGTGACTCATGAAGGTGTTCATGTAAATTGTATTATTGTCATGCCACTTGTTTGTCTGTAAATGCGGTAATTACGTAATCGTTTAGGTTTTATATCCCCATGTAAGATATTTTGTTATGAATCTTTTTTCATCAGATGTCCATGTGTGTAAGGTGAATGACCTATTCTGAGGCGATTCAATACTCGTTCGTCTTTTCATTTGGGGGATAAAATAATAATTTATAATAAAAGTTGTTCATAATTATATAATTTCATCCTCACAGAATATATTATATAATCATATTGTTATAAACAGAAATCTTATATAGGTAACCCCGTCATTAATAGAAGAAACGTATAATTTTTTTACATATTTTTGTCTCTAATACACTGTTGTAATCTCATTCGTCATTACCTGATCCATATTATACATCCTTACTAGCCTAGTACGGCTACAACACGATTCCGCCATTGATATAAAGTATATTGAATATAATATAGTTTCATGACAATATGATAAGAATATCAACATAATAATATAAGATATATATATATAAATAGCCCGAAAACTGTATAACAATTATTCATCAATTGAGAACGGTTGGGACAATTTGGCTCAATTTTTTTTAAATTGTGTCCCATTGCCAGGAAACGGTTTTCGAATTGAAAAAGCTACATCAAACTTTAGCTTATAAAATTGTCCATACGACATATATAATCGTTAAAATGTGGCTGTCGGCTACGTTATGGCTGCTCATCGGCATGTATACATTCAAAATAGTTAATACAATTACAATTAAACATATTATTCATATAGCGTGTGCGCCTAGCGGGGTCCTCAATCCACTGCAGATTGCAGATTGATAGCCTACCTGATTACCCCTAATTTAGTAATGTATCTTAGGCGCAATCCTTCAATTTACATAATTATTGCGTTTGATTATGCCATGGTAAATTTATACCAACAATCATGAAATCCCAATGTCTGTTTCTCGCTGTCGCAAGACCAAAAATATTATGTTTGAGCAATTTCTTAAATGTATGAGGGTTTTTAAAAATAATAACAATAAATATTGTATCCGACAATATGCAGACTATGACCAAATATATTTTTAAATCTAAATCACAATTCTCGTTTTAATTAGTCCGTATGTTGGCCTCCTCCCATAACCTCTCCGATTTCTCATTCAACATTCTGATCTACCCTGCTCACTTGTAGAATACGTGAGCTGCATAGACACAATAATACATAATATGTATTAGTCAGAGCTATTAAGTTAGTACCTCGAGATATATAACATTGTCTTAAATATTTACTTAAGAGTATTCTTATTCAAACAAAAGAAAAAAATGCAAAATACACAATAATGTTACATTAATCATTAATATAATTTCATTTTGATAGGTAATACTTGAACAGTAAAGTTATATAATAGTATTATTATTTTATTTATGGATCCTGACAATATAATCGAATTAGTATCCACATGGAGTTTTATATTAATCTAAAAATACAAGTAAAATAACAGATTGATTTAATTAAATGTATGTAGAATACATGATATTAAAGTGCGAATTAATAGTTTAAATATAAGTATCAATTTACCGCTTAATATTAGTTGCCGACATAACTGATAATAACATATCCCTTATGGAGAATCGTAAACCATCCAATCTTGTGCAAATATAAACAATAAATTACTGTGATCTGTGAATTTATGATAGAAATAAAAATAATTCTTACTTGTTTCCAATGGTAGACCTTTGCTAAATCGATCACAGAATTCTGCGGCCGTTTCATAATAATCTATAAAAAAAGTACATCAATAACAGTAATTTAATTAGAAAATTGTGTTTTGATCGAATAAATACAATAAATTATAATAATGATTCTTTAACTATACTTTTACAGCATATTGGGTATAATATTATAATCTATTCTACAAAATGAATTAAATTTTGTTTTGTAATTACTTTAATAATTACTTACCTAGTCTACCAGCGACCGCATAATTGTTAATGAACTTAACTAATGGATCTGCAATTATTTGAATTAATAGTTCAAATATGTGTTTAACATTACATTGCAATTGTAACATTTTATTTTTTCTACATGCATTATACAAAAATAAGCTTGGACTATTAAGGCTTTACGATTTTGAATATGTAATTGACATACAAATGAATAATAATATTATGAATAATTGTAAATTATAATTATAGATCACTGACAATAACTTACGTGGAAAATGTGTTTCACCAGTTCCAATATGTGTCTCTAATGTGAAGATATATAATATAACATTTTAAATACTGTAACATAGACTTATAAAAGCGCAAATTGTAAAATAGCAGATAGGGATACAATACAATCACAGAATGGAGTGGGAAAGTATTGTAGTGGTTGTAATATTATTATAACGGTGTACCTATATTAATGAATTATATCATCCAGATTCTAGAAGCACAGTTTATTGTAGTTATACATAATAAAATATGACGTAAAAATAAAACTATAGGTAACTCGTAATGTTTACTTACTGTATAGAAACAATAAGTCATGAAAGTTATGCACTTGAATTATATCATGAACTATAAACATACACAATATTATCACTATTTTTCATAAATCTCAGTTTGTTACCTTTTTTTTTTATTTCAATGTAATCACTTGTGTTGGAAGGCAATACCGACTTACAAATACAAGAGAAGCCGCTTATTAGAAACACGGACTTGTACTATATATAATAATATTTTGTGTGTTAATATAGTTTGATGCATTGAAGTATGAATCTCAATTTTGAATAAGGGATCGATATTCTAACCAAACTCAATGTATATGTGTCAAAATAACAATGTCCACCAAATGTCTCGAAAATCTGTTGATATTATTTAGGCCTGATGTAAACATGTGAAGAGGATTTAAGAAATTAGACACAAGCCACCAATGTAACTTGTTCACAACTACACATAATTTCGGTAAACAATTATTTCTATAAAGATCTAATGGCTCTTTACTACATTATTTTTCCTTTTATTACTATTAGTATTTATGATTGTTATTTTACTAAGAAATACAATAATTATTCCAATGGATTTTATATTCATGGTGAGTTAGCTCCGGAGATGCCTGATTGCGGCCCGAATGCCGGTAGTCGTATTTAATCCCAAATATAAGTATCCCGATTGAGGACCGTCCAAACACCCATTGGTCCACAAAATAGCTTATAATTAATAAAATTAACCATTTTGTATGAGAAATATTTGTATATGCAAAACAAATACAATGTCTTGTTTATGATAATTATCATAAATGTGTGAATAAATATACAAGTAATTCTTACAAGGCTGTAAACAGTATATACTTAGTCTTACATTTTATCTAATATTTTTTATAATTAATGCCTGGAAATGACCATGCCGAATATTTTTGATCTTGGGAATCGTGAATACGATAGTTATATAATTATGTCAAAATACGCACCGGACGCAATCAAGATATTTATTTAGTTTTGATAAAGACTGTATAGGTAGTTTCCTGCCTAACCGCAATAGGAATAGGTGAAAAAGTAAAAAGGTTACTTTTAGCCGCAATCGGGCGACACCCGTTACCTCTATTCTCCCAGAAGCTGAGTAATAATTATATACATTATACAAGGTATCGAATAAAATAATAAAATATTTTTATTTTACGTTTACTAAGTGTTAGCCGATTATTATCTATACATATTCGACTAAATAATTAATGCATATCAGCTATATTTGTATTATTTATTGTTATAACATTAAAAAGCAATGTATGCATTATACTATATTTAATTAAAAACCTACGAATCATTAGAAGAATAAACTTACAGAATTTTCGAGTAAATATTTGGAACTCCCTTGGATTAGAAAAAGCAGCATCTACACAAAGATAAATTATATTATACCTTAATCGCAGTTTGTTACTGTTTTTATACATTAATCTAAATATACAAATTACTACACATACTTTGGTCCATCATTACAGTATACAAATATATAATTAAATATAAATTACATTTGAGAATATAAATCGAGGCCCCAGCTATTTATAATAAGTATTATAAAAAAATAGGTATGTAACAAAACAACAGAAAGGAATGTGAAAGGCTTGGGGAGCATATAATATTGTTATTGTTGTGTATAATACTTTATTAATATTAATAATCATTGAGAAAGATTCACTGAATGTGTGTGATGTATAAATCATACTACTTATTAATGACACAACACTCCAACATTAAATTTGGTAAGGAATTGAAGTTTTTGAATTTTGTCAACGTACCATTTACTTTTTGGCGATTCATTTTCAACCAATCAAAAAGTTTAATAATAAATAATATTTTACACTTTCAATATTTATGTTACATTTATAGTATAGGTACGTCTTGTTCACCAATCATGCTAACCTCAATTTTTTTTCTTTAATTCTATTAAAAAATACTGATTTATACGATTATTAAAAATTGTGTTGATTTATTTCAAGTATCATACCCAGGTTATACTAGGTAACACGCTCCAAAAATAATCAAATGTTATTATAATTTTTATATTGTGATAGCCGATATTTATGAACCGACGTTAGTACATTAATATCATTGATACATGTTTGATTATATGACTGGAGCGTATTTGAATAGCTGATTATAATATAGCATCTATATATATGAACAGATTACATTGTAAAATGTTTAAATATCATGCTATAAGTAATTTGTAATGTTAGCTTATTCTTACTGATTGAGTTTATTATAGTTGTCATATTCGCATCTGCTGCGGCAAGGGATTGATCTATAAAAATAAACGTTGTTTTGCAAATACATCTCAGGCTATTATTGTTTTTATATTTCAATCTAATCAATTACATATATATATACTTGTGTAACTTAATAGCAACATAACAATGCATATTTATATTCACACTATTAATATAGACTGATGTAATGAAGTTTAATTTTCAGAGTGACTGCTGGCGCGAAGGTGCCTGTAATCACTCTGACCAATCTCATGACCTGGATATCAGGTGTCCGGGTCTCTACTCTATAAGTTTAATTTAAAATCATACTCTTCTATCGACAAGATAGAGTTGACCATGTTTACCATCACTGGAGTGTCCTATGCTTTCGGCACAAGCTTTTATGTTCGACATTCTGTATCTCGTGCCAATTCGTTATCGGTATTCAAGTGCGCAATTTCTACTGTTATAATATTTTAATAACGTGGATAGTACAATAATATTGTCGTTCTAACATTGGAATGTTAGGCTAAATTATAATTCGATAAGTCAGTGATATTCAACTGGGGATCTAGATTAATAAATAGTCGATCACTAATAGAAACACTTAGTTATGGATCACAACTAAACAGAACATATGTGTGAGATATACCTACATAATAAGTCTGTAATTTCAACGAAAAATGTTTAAAATGACTGTTGTAACTTTTAACTTTCTAACCAAAAGTATTATATTATACTTTTCCATATTATGTTCATAATAACACATAACCGTTTTAAAAGAGTAGAAATTTAACATTATTCAAACATTTATCCAACAACAAGCAGTAATATAAAATGACCTTAATGCACTTAAAATTAAAACAATTTTGTAGATTATCGGTCAAGTATTATAGTTAATTTGGCGAATCTGAACTTACAGTTAGTGTCGAGAATTATGTAAATGAAAATTACTCATCTTATATGTTAATTTATGTTGAATAGTTCAATCTCTTCTTATCATTATTACATATAAATAACACTGTATTAATTAACTATAAATAACAAGCAATGTATATTTACAGAATCTCTGCAATATTTTTTCGAAGTTGTCTAGTTCACTGGGTGCTAATTCTCCTAGCACTATAAAAAAATAAAAAATATCAAGCATAAATACATTTCAGTTTGTTACTGTCTTTTTTATTTCAAATAAATCAAGTAGATATACGATAAGTTAATACAATTAATATACCTTCTGTATTTCTTTTCAGAAGTCCAAACTCATAAAATTGTCCTGTAAAAGTTTAAATAAACAGTCAAGTGTAAATATACAACATAATTTGTAATTTAAATGGTAGCAATTTTTCCAGCGGATCGATTATAATAGTCATAGGATACATAAGTAGTAGATGTTTTGTATGGAGGAATATGTACTTATGGAGGAATATGGAGTTTAATAAATATTTTTTACAAACATGATATTTACTAAAAATACAAATCTTTGACTCGGACAGCGTCATTCGGTTCAGATAGTATTCAATTTAACCCCACATTAAATTGTATCTGTATAATTGTCTTATCGTCAACTCATGTTTATTTGATATTGTTGTGTATGTTATTACTTTGTATTTATACTCAACACGAAGCAGTAATTTTTAAGATCTCAACAACCGGACAGAATAGATTTAATGAATTTAACCCTGCATCACCACGAGCTAAACTACACGTCGTTGTTGGGATTTTAAACCACCAGAACAACGATATGATAATCAACCGGGGAACTCGCAAAGGTCAATGTAATTTTATGAATATGAGTGAATTGAGCACAGCGAGCTTCTTTCATATTTTTTGTAATGACTACTATGTTCTAAATGACAAACACAGTCGTCGGCCGCCAGTTTTCGTCTTCGACGGTCTGGCAACACCTGTTTGTCTCGCTCACGACTCACGAGTGACAAATCTGTAGTATACCTGCCGCGTAGACCGTGTAGTATTATTATCAGCACATATTATTGGAAGCAAACCGCGTTTAATATTTTGAACAGAACATAATATGTAATAGGCTCCCTACTCCGGCCAAAAGCTTTGACTATGGGGTGTAGGTATCAACGCGACTATGTATTATCTTGTAATATTATGTACATACATTTTAAATTGACTTTTAATAAAAATAAAAATGTATAATTTATAATTGAATTTTTTTTTAACTCAATGCTTTATTCAAATCACTTAAAAATGATCCAAGTCGGTTCTCTGAATAAAAATATAAAAATTGCAGGCTTGCAAATAGGTTTTTACCATTGACTATTATATGTAATGAATAATGATTTGTTTTTATATTACTCTAAAATCTAAATTACTGACTTTAGTGAAACTCACGATCATAGGTAAAAAAGTAATAACATTAAGTGAAGCTCGATGTATTTATATGAACAATGCGTTGTGATAGAGAAAGTAAACTTAAATTACTTACTATAGCATTTTAACACTTCATCAAACTCTGAAAATGTTAATTGGTAGTAAAAAATGTGTCGGATTTTTTACAATTAAATTGAAGGAAGACAGTTGATATGTAAGAGAAATATCTGTGTTCAATTTGTTTTCAAATAAAGAATTAATTAAAAAATATATTTTTTAATTTGTTTACCAAAACATAAAAAAAAATTAAAAGATGAATTATTTTTAGTGCTTGTTCTTGTAAGTCGTAATAAATAACAAGAATTATGATATCTCTATTATTTCAGGAGATATCACAATGAGTAAATTCTCACTTGAAAAACTAAATGATATTATAATAAACCCCATTTCATTTAATGGAATATATTGATTAATATTTCATTAAAATAACACTAATTTTCTGAATTTGAATTGTATTTATTTGGTTCGTAAATAGGATTCTCTATTAATATTAAAATGTGATATTATTTAATAAAAATAAGCAATTTACTCACGTAATCTGCGTTGTTCTGGCGTAAGTGCAATTGTATTTCCAATAATATAAAACATAATAAATAAACCTAACATAATAATATGTTTTACCATACTTGGAATTACCAACAAAAAATAGAAATAATTGCGAGGTTGATTGGGATAAAGTTAAGTAGTATTTAAAAAGTAGTTCAACTACGATTTTCAGCGTTCTTCTGCAAAAATGAAACATAACAGGTGGTTATAGTGCAACTGCGTAAACCACATGGGGAAATAGAAGTACGAAAATAATGTTTTTTTTTCTTTAAAAATATATGTATAGTGTACTATAATAAATATGATTCTTGTATATTTGTGATCCTTGTCACTGACACCTAAATACACAAGAACAATACATTGAGTTTTTCATGTCTCTTACGTGTGCCCATTTCAATATATAACGTAATTGCATAATATGCTTAAGTCATGGTAAAATTAAAACAAAAATCATCAAATCTTAATGATTGTTCATTCCGTATAGGTTAATGAATCTGTGGTAATATAGACTTGGTTATTAGAAAATATAGAAAAACATATCAAAAAGCAAGAGATAGTTAAAAAAAAGTCCAAAGGCAATATGTATATTTTAAACTTTTTTTCAGAGTTTAATACTATTTCCACCAATACAAACGCAATAGCTTAAGATAACATAATATTATATAATTGATGTGATTGATCACTTCAATACACAATTGGAATACATTCACTTTTATCAATTCGTTAGGCTAAGTTACAGGCACTTGTTTTTACAAATTTTTTTTTTTTTGATTATCGACATAAACATTTAACAGTTATAGTTTTTTTAGTTCGTCAGCCAGAACTTACAATAAGGGTTTATGTACGCATTCCATTTGGTTCGGTTCTCCGAAGAATACATAATACACGTTTTAGAATGTTTGCATTTTACTTTTAACAAAAATCGAACATTTTTATAGTGTTTCGTAACAGTTATTATCGTATAATATGAAAATATGAATATAATTATCGATTTTAAGTTTTTCCATCTATCACCTGTTGAATGAAATAAAATTGCCATTATATTATCACGAGATTTATATTTTTGTATTTATTCTGTTTAGTTATTTCATATTTGTATACCTCTCTCTGTCTCTCTGCTTCTCATTTTTACTATCCACGAACATAAAATTTTTGTTTTCGCGGTCAACGTTCGGCCGCTTATTATTGCTTACGAACTGTACACATTTATAAGAAAAGACAGTAAATATAATATAACTACTCGTGTTTTGATATTATTAGGATTTAGGAAGTTTATATTGTTTTGTAGATCTACAGAACAAATTAAATACGTTTGCACGGTGAAATAAAGCACAATATCTCTTATTTTAAACAATGTAAAACAAATTAAGTTAACATGAAATCGTGAGGTTTGGACAGATTATCTGATCTTTAACGACTGTTTATCCCTGTGCTCCACACGGTCGGATTTAGCCCGGTTAAGATGTTTTGGTGGTGATGAAATTACAGTGGTGTTTTCTGTCTAGCAAACAAATAAGTTCAAAAATAATACATTTTTGTTTATGGTAATGTCGGCATTGGTAGCAGATTAAAATAGTTACGTAGTAGAAAATATTATACATATATTTTTTTTTAAATATTACTAGCTGCCCCGTTACGGCGTTGCCCGTGTATTACAAAGCTACATATAAAACACCTTTTATATCACATTATTTTGAGAACTAATTTTGAAAAAATCATTTCAAAAAAAAAAAAAAAATAATAATATTTATTATAATGTTTACAACATTGTATTGATCCTTATGATTCTTTACACATATTGTTATTTCAAAATGATTCTATTGTTATAATTATAATTTGTACAGTTAAACACGTTTATTGCATATCAATAAGAAACGTATTATTATTTTTCGATAGCGCAATCTATATAATTTCTCATAAAACTCTCAAATACTCATAAATACTCAAAAGTATGGCGGTTGCAGCCGTTGCTACGTGTGATCGTCATTAGACAAATTAACAGTCTTTAAAAATGCCAACTCTATATGAGAATCGCCTGTGATAAAGTGAGCAGTATATTATCAGGTAAGCTATCTACCCCACTAGGTGCACACTCTATACTATTTTTAATTTTAATTTTTTAAATTATTTTGTTCGTGTTTATGCCGATGACGATGAGTGACTATAAGTGAAACTTGGCCAACATATACCTTGGCAGGCATTGTGCGAAAATTCGATTTGATGCATTTTCTAACCTGATCTGCCCAATTAACCAATGGCAAATAGCAAATTTAAAAAAACACCAAGTTTGATTAAAAAATGAAGACAGTTGTGCGGAAAATTAGTTATTTATTAAAATAAACGTGCAAAATTGTATACCAATACGCATATTGTGTGACACGGCAGCCCGCGGGTTCCTAGCTACCTGACCTTTTTGTTTGTCGAATCATGTGTTTGACTTGCTCTTGTATATGTTAGAGTTACAGCATTGCACGATCTGTTACCTGAGTTTGTTAAAATTTTCAGTGTGATTGCTAGTAGTTAGTACAAAATGTGTTGGTTTATTTAAAAACAAGATGAAGGAAGGTAGTTGACATCTATGAGAACGCCACAACCACTGACAATTAATATACAAGTGTACAACGAACCTAAATGATGTGTATTCAACATCAACAATTATTTTTATCATTAATGTAGTTCTTAATTATCCAAATTAATAGATTTAAAGCTATAATATTGGTTTAGGTAATTTTATAAGCATAGTATGCTTCGATTTGAGTTTGATAATTTAACAGTTAAAATTCAGAACACAACAATATGTAGAACATACATTTGCTATTACAGGTATATTTGCTTTTGTGAGACAATAACACCACAATGTGTACCTAGTAAATTTATACCTAGGTATACCTACTCAGTTTTTCAAAGAATAATTTTATTTTGTATTCAGAATACATATTAAAATAAAAGAGAATTAATGTATTTAGAATACGTATTCGAATACTTTTAAAAGTATTCGAAAAAAACAGACGCACCACTTGGAAGTTGAGTGTTATGTTTTATGAATATCTCTTTAATTGAAAGTGTTTCATTTAATGATAGAAGTAATAATTACTTAGTAAATTACTTACTAGGAATTTTTGATAAGTATGTGGATAAACATATCCGATAGTATGTGTGTGAAAACTATATTTTTCATGATTTATAATAATATGCCTTGTCACAATTATAAACTATTTTTCTAGATCGGAAAAAAATTATTTTATAATGAATAAAAAAATACAAATAAAAGTCTTCAGAAAACGTAATTGAATAGGCCTACTTAAAAAAAAGTATTTAAAATAGTATTTGAATACAAAAAAAGTATTTAAAATAGTATTTGAATACAAAAAAAGTATTCAAATACTTTTATTCGA